CTGTGGTGGCAGTGTCACCTGCAGGGTGTCATCCCCGGTGTCCCCTCCACAACAGCAGTGTCACCTCCCCTGTGCCATCCCCGGTGTCCCCTCTGTGGTGGCAGTGTCACCTCCAGGTGCCATCCCCGGTGTCCCCTCCCCGCTGGCAGTGTCCCCAGCAGCGCTGTCACCCGCGGCCACCCCGCGTGTCACCGCGGTGCCACCCCTCGCCCTGTCCCCGCGGGTGACAATAAATGCCATCCCCACCCCGCGCGTGGCCTGTCCTTGTCCCCTCGCGGGGACACCGGGCGTCACTCACAGCCACCCCTGGGGACAATCCCGGTGGCATCGCGACGTCCCCAGGAGCAGTGACGGGCCAGCGCCGCTCGTGTCACTCGGGGCTTTATTGAGCGGGGGGCTCGTGTCACCGTCACCGCGGTGTCACTCGGGGGTCCTCGTGTCACCGTCACCACGGTGTCACCGGTGTCACTCGGGGCTTTATTGAGCGGGGGGCTCGTGTCACCGTCACCACGGTGTCACTCGGGGGTCCTCGTGTCACCGTCGCCGCGGTGTCACCGGGTGTCACTCGGTGTCACCAGTGTCACTCGGGGCTTTATTGAGCAGGGGGGCTCGTGTCGGTGTCACCAGTGTCACTCGGGGGTCCTCGTGTCACCGTCACCATGGTGTCACTGGTGTCACTTGGGGCTTTATTGTGCGGGGGTCTTGTGTCACCGTCACTGCGGTGTCACCTGTGTCACCAGGTGTCACCTGGGGACTTTATTGAGCGGGGGGCTCGTGTCACCGTCACCGCGGTATCACTTGATGTCACCACTGTCACTTGGTGTCACCGGGTGTCACCTGGGGCTTTATTGAGCGGGGGGCTCGTGTCACCGTCACCGCGGTGTCACTGGTGTCACTTGGGGGTCCTCATGTCACCGTCACCACGGTGTCACCAGTGTCACTTGATGTCACTCTGTGTCACCGGTGTCACTTGGGGCTTTATTGAGCGGGGGTCTCATGTCACTGTCACTGCGGTGTCACCGGTGTCACTCAGGGGTCCTTGTGTCACCGTCACCGCGGTGTCACTCGGTGTCACCACAGTGTCCCCAGTGTCACTCGGGGTCACCAGGTGTCACTCGGGGGCTTAATTGCGCGGGGGTCCTCATGTCACCGTCACAGTGGTGTCACCAGTGTCACCAGGCGTCCTTGGTGTCACTCCGGTGTCACTCAGTGTCACCGTGGTGTCCCCAGTGTCACTCAGTGTTCCTGGGTGTCACCACGGTGTCCTCAGTGTCACTCAGGTGTCACCGTGGTGTTCTGGGTGTCACCCAGTGTCACCCAGTGTTGCTGGGTGTCACCCAGTGTCACTCGCTGTTCCTGCAGTATCACCGGGTGTCACTGGGTGTCACCAGGTGTCACTTGCTGTCCCCGTCGCTGTCCCCATGGTGTCACCGGGTGTCCCTCGCTGTCACTCGCTGTCCCTGTCACCATCCCCGTGGTGCCACTGGGTGTCACTGGGTGTCACCAGGTGTCACTCGCTGTCCCCATCACCGTCCCCGTGGTGTCACCGGGTGTCACTCGCTGTCCCCGTCACCGTCCCCGTGGTGTCACCGGGTGTCACTCGCTGTCCCCATCACTGTCCCCGTGGTGCCACCGGGTGTCACTCGCTGTCCCCGTCACCGTCCCCGCGCCGTCTCAGCCGTTGCTGCCGCAGCCGCAGGCGCCGCTCACGCTCGAACTCCTTCATGCGCATCACGTAGCTGGGGACACACGGAACACGTGTGTCACCGTGTGTCACCACCATGGGACACCACGTCACCACTGTGTCCCTGTGTCACCACCGTGTGACACTGTGGGACACCACTGTGTCCCTGTGCCACTCATTGTGTCACCATGTGTCACCACGTCACCACTGTGTCCCTGTGTCACCGTGTGTCACCACCGTGTGACATCATGGGACACCACTGTGTCCCTGTGCCACTCATTGTGTCACCGTGTGTCACCACCGTGTCCCTGTGTCACCGTGTGTCACCACAGTGCTCCTGTGCCACTCATTGTCACCACATCTCACCGTGTGTCACCACATGTCACCACTGTGTCACTGTGTCACCCTGCCACGGTGTCGCCATGTGTCACCGTGTCACCGTGTCATTGTCACCGTGTGTCACCGTGTCGTTGTCACCACAGCCACCAGGGTGTCACAGGCGGGTGGGGGTGGCACCGCGGTGGCCGTGGTGTCCCCGTCACCCCCCGGCACGTCCCCAGTGTCCCTGTGTCCCCCCCTGATGTCCCCACGATGTCCCCAGTGTCCCCAACACCCCAACACCCCCAGTGTCCCCAATGTCCCCAGTGTCCCCATGTCCCCGTGTCCTCACTCCTCGTGCTGGCAGCCGTCCCAGGCGTGGCGCAGCGCGTGGCACCGCCATGGCACGGGGAAGTTGTCGCGCTGGCAGCGCAGCAGCCGCAGCAGGTGGTGCCCGCAGAAGTCGCGCTGCTCCAGCGGCACGCGGGCCTGCGCCAGCTGCGCCGCCGAGGCCACCATGGCTGTCACCAAAAGGGACAAAAAGGGACAGAGGGGACAGTCAGGGACACTCAGGGACAGAGGGGACAGTGAGGGACACTCAGGGACAGAGGGGACACCCAGGGACAGGGGGGCCTGCGCCAGCTGCGCCGCCGAGGCCACCGTGGCTGTGACAGGGGACAAAAAGGGACAGAGGGGACAGTGAGGGACACTCAGGGACAGAGGGGACACTCAGGGACAGAGGGGACACCCAGGGACAGGGGGGCCTGCGCCAGCTGCGCCGCCGAGGCCACCATGGCTGTGACAGGGGACAAAAAGGGACAGAGGGGACAGTCAGGGACACTCAGGGACAGAGGGGACAAAAAGGGACAGAGGGGACAAAGGGACAGTGAAGGACAGAGGGGACACTTGAGGAGAGAAGGGACAGAGAGGACACAGACATTTGGAGACACTCAGGGACACGTGGCCCTGTGCCAGCTGCGCCGCCGAGGCCACCGTGGCTGTGACAGGGGACAAAAAGGGACAGAGGGGACAGTGAGGGACATTCAGGGACAGAGGGGACAGTGAGGGACACTCAGGGACAGAGGGGACACAGGCCTGCGCCAGCTGCGCCACTGAGGCCACCATGGCTGTCACCAAAAGGGACAAAAAGGGACAGAGGGGACAGTCAGGGACACTCAGGGACAGAGGGGACACTCAGGGACAGTGAAGGACAGAGGGGACACTTGAGAGAAGGGACAGAGAGGACACAGACATTTGGGGACACTCAGGGACACGCGGCCCTGTGCCAGCTGCGCCGCCGAGGCCACCATGGCTGTCACCAAAAGGGACAAAAAGGGACAGAGGGGACAGTCAGGGACAGAGGGGACACCCAGGGACACTCAGGGACAAGTCAAGGACACCCAGGGGACACTTGGGGACAGAGGGGACACTCAAGGACACTTGGGGACCCCCAGGGACACTCGGGGACACTTGGGGACCCTCGGGGACACTCAAGGACACTTGGGGACACTCAAGGACACTTGGGGACCCTCGGGGACACTCGGGGACACTTGGGGACCCTCGGGGACACTCGGGGTGGCAAGTGCAGGGCCAGCGACACACGGGTGGCACCTGGGGACACGCGGCGGNCGGGGACACTCGGGGTGGCAAGTGCAGGGCCAGCGACACACGGGTGGCACCTGGGGACACGCGGCGGGGGAGGGGACACGGGGAGGGGACACGGGGGTGGCACCGGCGGGGGGGGGAGGGGCGCTGCGGGAGGTCACCGGGGTCATGCGAGGGCGGGGACGCCCCAAAGGCACCGCGCCCCGCCACCATCCCCGTGTCCCCTCCGGTGTCCCCTCCCGTGTCCCCTCCGGTGTCCCCTCCTCCCCGTGTCCCCTCCCGTGTCCCTCCCGTGTCCCCTCCGGTGTCCCCTCCCGGTGTCCCTGTGTCCCCTCCCGTGTCCCTCCCGTGTTCCTCCGGTGTCCCCGTGTCCCTCCCGTGTCCCGGTGTCCCTCCCGTGTCCCCCGCGCTGTCCCGGTGTCCCGCTGTCCCCTCCGCTGTCCCGTGTCCCCCGCGCTGTCCCGGTGTCCCGCTGTCCCCTCCGCTGTCCCGTGTCCCCCGCGCTGTCCCCGTGTCCCCGGCGCTGTCCCGTGTCCCCCGCGCTGTCCCGTGTCCCCGGCGCTGTCCCGTGTCCCCTCGCGGTGTCCCCCGCGCTGTCCCGGTGTCCCGGTGTCCCTCCCGTGTCCCCCGCGCTGTCCCGTGTCCCTCCCGTGTCCCCCGCGCTGTCCCCGCACTGACCGCGCGGCTGGCGGCGCGGCAGGCCGAGCCGGGCGGGGAAGGACGGCATGTGCAGCGGGTCGGGCTCGGCCTCGGCGTCCCACAGGTAACGGCGGCTCAGGTGAGCGCCCATGGCGGCGGCGGG